TTATTGCAGAAGAAGTTTAAATTGCCACAAATGAAACTACACAGTGACTGAGAAGGAGTGCTCAGCTGTGAATTCGCATATAAACAGTAACTAGTGTATCCTTATGAAGTGAAAGTAAGGTGGTGACTGACCATGCCTCCTTGCGCTGGTTAAAGAATCTTCAGGGGCCTGAGGGATGCATCATACGGTAGTATCTCAAGCTTTAAGTATATGATTTTGAAGTAATCCATCGCTTTGGTGTAAAGCATCAGAATGATGACTGTTTATTGTGATAACTGACGGCTGTTATAGTAGCAGACCTTGCAGATCTGATGTATGAAAAGATGATCTTCAGAAAGTACACTTACATATAACCTCAAGACATTCAATTATCAAATGGGATGATGTCAGATACTTTTTAGGGAAATGGTGAGCTATACAAGCAGAGAAGCAGTGCTATATCAAGATTTCTAAAGTCCTCTGTTTGTTCGGATATTATCATGAATGTGAACAAGGAGGTATGGCACAGAGGCCTATGTAAGCGTTAGAGTTACTGCAACTGAGCTATTACTGGTAGAGCATGCACTTTAATATTCTAAAATGATTTCCTGCTATCATCAATGCCAGGTGGATACCCTTCCACAAGAAGATCTCCTATTTTTAGTGAAACCACAGTTTTTATGCATACAGTATCCAACAACATTGTGGGGCCCCTTTCTATTAGTGAGAATCTTTTAAGTACATCATAGTAGTGATAGGTCATTTGACGAAGTGGGTAGAGGCATGAGTGATAGGAGAATTAGGGATGGTAACCGCTGAAAATTCATATTGGAGTGCATCATTTAATGGCATGGCTCCCGTAGTTCATACTCATTGACAACAGAATTAAATTTACTTTGTATGTTCTCCCCAAGCTGAATGAATCAATGGTAATTTTTTGGGGCACTAATGACCCCATAACACCTTGAGTCCAATGGAACTGTTGATTGGGTTAATGGAACCCTAGTGAATATACGCAAAAATCTTGCCAGGGATTGACTGTCTGTAAGTCCAGGGAAACGTCCCCTGTGCGTGGATCGGATGATCTTCCCATTTCCAAATAAAAAGGGTCTGAAGAGGGTGGCTGTACCCCTTATCACACAGGGCGACCTCACCCACATGGTAGATGAATGCTTGGTAACAGCCTTCCCTCTTAGGATGCCTCCTCCATTACCCACGCTTACCTTGGCCAAACTTGTCCACCAAATTGAGGAAATCTGCGCAGAGATTACCAAATTGATGTGAAAGGTCCAAAACCGATGGGAATAAAGCCCAAAAATCAGAAAACATCTAGCTAAAAGGGACAAATATTGATTTATCTGCTGAAATCGCTGATGGTTTTGACTCAACCAGCAGCACAATCGATAATGATAACCACCTCTCAAAATTGTCATGGATGATCCCCAATGTGCAGATGGTATCTTTGGAAACTATATCAGACAGTTTAAAACCCCAATCCAATGAATCAGGAGTTGTGGCTGATGTAACTCATTTGACTGAACAAACGCCCCAGTGACCAGGCATGGGCGGGTTGGGCATCCTGAACCTGTTTCCAACCAATTGGGACTACCCCTATGTGGGGTAACACTGGGGAATTCCCATTGCTCGTTGGGAAAGATGCCGTTGCGCCAATTGACAGAAACACAGTTAAGCCTCAGTTCAGGGGTTCATGATCAAACCAACAGTGACTCAGCCTGCCACCAAATCCTTTGATGTCAGTTCCAAAATGAGATTATCTGCCCCCTTCCCCAAAAAATTCGCCGGTTCAGGTCAAATTTGAGGGACCTGATCCATGCTTGGACCCACTACAATTGAACACTATTTAATCAGTTGCATAACACTGAGGAAATTGTTGTTTGATTCTCTTTATTTTCCTTTCCAATTAATTTCTCCAACTGTGGGATCCACTTATGGATGCCACAAATTTTTTATTAAAGTGAGAAATTTACTTTTTAATAAAAGTAATAAATAACGCTTTGTTAAAGTTTTTATGTTCTTATTGTTTAAACGGGGCAAAACCAGAAAGGTCCTTTTTTCAATACTAGTATTTTCTTATTTAAACTAGTTCAAATCCCGGGACCATGGGTATTCAAGGCAAAAGCATGTAAAGCTGAGTCTTCCAAATTAGGGAATATAGGCTTTCAGCCCATCAGATCAAAGATAAATATTTTGAGGCAAAACTGACCCATGTGGTAATGATTTGATGAATTGTATCCAATCACCAGCGAGTAAAATCTTCTAACCTTAGAGGTGGTCAGAATCATTTGGTAATGATTGGTTAATTTGCACCCTATCATTGTCAAGTAAATTCTTCTCACCTCGGCAGTGGTCAGACTCACGTGGTAACGAACACCCCAAATTTGGCTGAGAAGTCGGAGCAATCCTATTATTAGTTATTACGTTATTAAGCCAATTTTGATTATAAACCATATTTTTCCAATAGTTAGGATTCCACCAATAATCCGCCAAGGTCTTTTTGCCATTGGTTCTCATATTTTTGATACCCACAATATTATTCAAGGATTGGGCAGGAGATGGGCCAATCATGGCAGCAGATTTGGGAGCACTCATACCTCCAACATTCTTTTTCATAAGTCAAGAAGGAGAATGTCTGACAGTAAAAAACTGGGCTCCCATGGCCCAGCCCGCCACCAGCCCTAACATCCACCCCATATCTGGCCGTACTGATTCTGAATGGTCCTGTCCAAATGGATGGCCTTGCCAGGCATACCAGGCTGAGGTGCGGTGCACTAGCCTCTGTCACCTTGGGCCCCTGGGCCAAGGTGCATCCCTATGGCCTCTGTCGCCTCAGGGTTACCCGGCTGAGGTGCAGTCAACCAGCCTCTGATGCCTCAGGCCACTCTGTCTCCTTCCCCTCTCACCAGGGGAAGGCCACTCTCAAGAGGATCCCAGCGCGTCCACCCCCTTCCTCTCCTCCTCATCGCACCGCCATCTGCACCCCCAATCCTTATTTTATATAAATAAAATTAAATAAAACGGATCAAGCGAATAGAAGCCTTTATTTGGGTAGACTCAAAGTCAGAATAGAATTTCAATACTGAGGTCCATTGGGGCTGGCCTCAGATTGAAATACTACCAAAAAAGGCTTAATGAATTGGAGGTAATGAGGGGCGCAAAAGCCTCCATAATTGATGGCATCCAGGCAACTTGATGGAGAATTGGAGGGGAACCTCAGAATGACAACCAATCAAATAAAAATTTATTTTAAATCTTATTTCATTATCAACCCAAATAGGAAAATCCTAATAGGAATAACAGAAATGCAACTATCTTTTTTTAGCACTAGGTGGTCCCAACCTAAAGGGGGATACACCAATCTATGGAAATGCAACTATCAAAGCACACAAATCTCATAATCCCCACCTTATGAGATTCATGTAACGTTCATTAATTGTTACAATTTCTGCTAAAAACTCATTTTTATTTTATTGAAATCCTTCTTGCCAAAGTCCTGATGGCATTAACCTGGTGGCCTATTGGTCCCTACACCAGATGGAATTACCAGTTTTGATGATTACAATCATTCCATTATCGTTAACTGTATTCAATGTGCAAGGAATTTCTGACAATCTAACTCCATCATTGCAACTATACGCCATCAATATACTGGGATCTTGTGGCCTTACATCCACCATTTTCAAGCAAGGATCCGCCCCCTTGTCTCTACAATCATATTGAACCCACCCACCAGTAACCCTGTAGAAGCTAACCCAGTGGTACAATCCCCTGAAGCGAGACCCCCAGTGTCTGGTATTGTTTCCATTTGGTTTGTTTTCAGGTTCCTTTTCACGCTCATTCTATACCAACAAGTCATTGTTTCACAATTCGTGGCTCCATACAACGTCATATGAGCGGCGATGCCACTGGCATTCTGGCTTACTTTTTGGGTGCTCATGCATCCTGACTGGCTTGCCGGTCTAAACTTTTTCTGCCGTTTTCATGACACTGTCAGACTGGAGCAACCTCTTTCTCACCGCATTTCAATTATAGCATCAGCTATCATTCTGAGTTTGGAAAACATCCCTCTCCAGTTGCTCTATGGGAGGCACACAGTTTTACCCCCACTACTCAACTCAGGTGTAGAGGATACTAGGGGAATGGATCTGCAACGCTATCTGATGACTCTAACATCCCCACTTATTAAACTTCAGACTGAAGCGTATTCAAGGAGCTTGGCTATAAATAAGAATCACTATCCCAATAAATGATGGTGTAGGGAACTTCTGCAGTTTCTGATAGGGGTGTGTGTCCTGTTCCACAATCAGCAAGGATTAAGATGAAGAAACAAACTAGTATCATATAGTCAGAACCTTCAGAAAAATAGAGAAAACAGATGCTGATGGCTATACAATCAAGGAGCTTTCAAGTGGCCAGATTATCAACCAGGCGCACGCTAAGTTCCTCTGATCATATAACCAATATAAAGAACACAAAAGAGAAAATCTAGGAATAATATATATCTTATAATGTGGATAAATAGCGGCAAGAAAAGTATGAATTACCACAACATGGGGAATGTTTTGCTCATGGGAGGGTGAGAGGCCACTGTGGAATGCTTCATGGAGAAAAAAATTTAGGAGCTGCGCTGGATGAATTTATCTGGTTGATGGGGGAAATGTTGAGGAAATTAAAAGATGTTTCCCCATAGTGGCAAAACTAGGAGCCTCGCTAAATGAGCATAGCTGCTAATTAATTGCCTAGTTTTAATGGTATAATTATTATTAAGTTGATAATTTGTGCTCCCATTTGGTTAGGCAGAAAATTTCAAAGAATTAGCCAATTCTGAAGTATAAGGGATAATTCTGACAGTGATTGGGGTATTTTGATTACCAGAAACTGAAGCTGAGGGTATATAGGAAAAGTTTATATTAATTATTTAAGTTTTACTGACAAATCAAGGCTGAGGATAAACCACCACTAATTGCCAGCAGATCAAATTCTGAGGGTTTATATAAGAGCATGCAGGGGGTGGAAGGCAACTCAGTAGGGCATATGGCTACCAACCTGAAGGTTGTGGGTTCAATTCCCACCCTTTGCACATCAATTGGGGTGCCAGCTGAAGGAAACTATTGGCGGTTGGTAGGTCTAATAATACGAAAAACTTACTCATGACATAACCAGAAAGATATGAGTCGCGATCAAGAGGTGAAAAACTTTCTATGACAGAGTTGACCCTTCTTAGGTTTCATGTTGATACTTTCTTTCTCTATTTTCAGAAATGTCCATGCCCTGTTCAGCTTGCCTCTAAAATTATAAATATATAAGGAAATGCATACACATACCTATGATTCTGCTGGGAAGTACACCAACCAATCTAATTGTCAGGGAATACCAGCTTGATTGAGATTCAGACTCAGTGGCCACAGCAGCAAGAATAAAAGTGGTGACAAAAAACTAAGGGAGTATTTTTTGGAAAAATGACTACATTGCAACTCTTTGGTGTAACCCATATCAAGCGTGATCCCTAAGATTAATGGTAGTGCAAACTTTCTGTTAAAATAAAGATAATTGTTATAGATGCTTTTTGCAGGTTAAAATCCTGGCACTTTTGTTCTTTCTGGTTCTTTTAGCACAGGATCTCAAAAATATAGTGGAAGGGGGATTATTACAGCACTTAGTTGTTGTCAAAGATCTTACAGGGAAAATTAACTACAAATAGATTTAATTATAAGAATTTTATCAATGATTAAAATGGAGACAAAAAATAATCCCTTTATCGAATTGTCAACTCCTAGTAGTTACGCTATTCAAAGGCTATTAGTGAGATACAAGAGAATTTGGGTTAGGCAGAAGGTGGCTCAATTTAGATAAATTTCAATGTAGCCTATCAGAACTCTTGACAGTCTTTTCACTTAGGCTTACTTGCCATTAGGTGATTGGTCGCCATCAGTATTAATAAATCCATGTGGTAATGTTATATTCAGTCCAATCAAGCATCTTGGAAAATATTTCACCTAAGCTGATTACCTGATGTCCCAGTGTGATTGGTTAATAATTAATTTCATCTCTTCAGAACCCCCTGCAGGTCTATAAATAGAAGTTGTTTCCGCTTAAAAAGTTAACCTAAATTCAAGTTGGGGCTTGGGCGGACTTCCAAGTTAGTACGCCTATTCTTCCAGGGGTTTGGCATATTCATACTAACTAGATTCAAGCCATTTGGCTGGGGGCTTGAGTAAAATTATTAATCTTATGGGGCTATTCCGTGAGCTAAAACATTGAGAATTTTTTCTAATTACTTAAACTATTTGCCATGGAACATTCTTCTCAGCTAGTAGAGAATTCAATTGTCTAACATTACCCCCTTCAAGTATATTAAGGAGATAATTGGGGCATATGAATCGTTCATGCACTCTGTTTATGGCGACTCCAGAGGCAACAGATTTGATTGGATGTGCATCGCCCCTCTTATAAGTAACCACGAATGGTCCTTCACAAATGGACCTGAGTTTGCCACTTCTGGGGGTGATGCAGTTGTGATAATATAAAACCAAATCTGAGATTTGAAAAGAGGGAATAGGTTTTCTATGCTTATTAGCTGCTAGGTCTTATTTTGGGACACTTTTAGCCAGATTGATTATTGCATCGGATTTCAGTTAAATGATGTGTTAAGCTAATTTTCATGGTTTTATCAGGATCATAAACCCAAAAGAAAAAACACCTTTTACTTATAAAGAAGTAGCCCAGTTTTCCGACCATATAAGACATGGAAAGGAGACATTTTGAGGATGTGATGATAACCAATATGGTATTCCATGAGCGCACTAGGTAAAAGTTGATCCTAGTGTAGAGGGTCTGAGCTGGCCATATTTAGTAATATAGGAACCATAGTTCCTTAGCTCTTTCAACAGTACCATTTATACAAGGTTGTATGGGCTTAAAAAAATTGGCTCCCATGGTGTAGCAGGACCTTGACCACTCTGGAGGTGATATCTTTTCCATTGTCGAAAAATAGGACCTTATGGGAAACCATGACGAGTTAAGATACACTAATGCAAGAAGGTAGCGGTAGCTTTAGCAGTCTGAGCGGGGATAACAACAGCTTAAACTCATTTTGTGAAATGATTGATTCCTACTAGTATGTGCCAATCCTACTTGTATTATGGGGTAGAGGACCTACCACATCCAGGTTTATCATTTGGAATGGTTGTTGAGTCATAGTAGGTTGGTATTGATATTTAGGCTTGAAGCAGGGTTTCTTTTTACAGCTAGGCAGGCATCTAGGACTTCAATAATGGATTCCATGATTTCCTCCCAATAGTAGTGATCTCTAATCCACTCATAGGTTTTCCGCAATCTGCTGTTCCCCAGGGTAGAGTGGGCCTCCACGATCACAGGTACTCGCTCTAAAGGTTAAAGATATGGAAACTAGTTTGCCCCTACCTTTTTGTATAACTTTCCGCTCTCCACCTTGGTGTTGCAGGAGTGTCTCGTTAACATTTTTAAAGGGTTCATCCTCATCATCTCAGAAATCAGAGCCATAAGGAGGTAATGTAATCTCTCCGCTTCACTATTTTCTAAGGGAAGGACAGGTAAACAAGTCAAACTATCATAGCTTGAGGATGACATGATAATGGGGACAAATATTAAGGATAAAGCTGCATGTCAAGAGGCTAAAAGGGTGAAGTTGGAAGGCCTCCCTGACCTCAAAAATACCTTGGATCAATGCTGGGTTAAGGCGAGGTATGCCCAGGTTGGTCCTGGGGATGTTAGAGAAGTTCAGCCCTGCAATACAGCAGGTGCATTAAAATGAACCAGCTTTGCATTTTATAATGACGGGTTGCTTAATTTTCTTGGTGAACGGTGTCTCAAAACCCATTCAGTTTTCGAAATTTCCAGCTCAGTTCGGCCTTACCTACAATCAATAATCTGAATTTGGTTGATTACCAAGTATAGTACACTGCCCAATGGAAGCGTGCACTTATTGGTGCACCTTGGCTAGCATCATTTCCATTGATCAATTATTCCCCCAAATTTCCTTAAATTTGTTTTCTTGAGACCAATCTCTCTCGTTGGTCAAATTCCTCCCTAGAAACCCATCACTAAGTATACGTTTTCCTTTATGTTAACTTGGGCAAACTTGTGCGCGGAGCTCTTTGAGGAGGTCTCATGCCACGTTAGCCATTTGATTTTCACAACCGTAATTCTCTTCTGGTACACCGCTGGGCCACCCTGGTTCCTTCCAGACCATGCCGCCTTTGCACTCCATCCCAGAGCATCACTTGGGTATGGACCCCACTTTGGGGTTCACTCTAGCCTTGGTGTTAGTCTGGTTTTTTTTCTATATCTCGTTAACCACCACTGCCATAAGTTACGTCAGCTCCAGCACCCTCTGTGGGGCTCTACTTACTTTATTACTAATGACGAGTTCCCTTGCGTTGTGTCTGTGCACCGTGCACCACCCCACTGGGAACAAGAGAGTTAATGACATTATCCTTACATTAGTTAACCAACCTCTTTAATTTATGTGCATGAACTTTTCCGTGTGGGACTTTCACAAAGTGCAAATGGAGTGCTCCAGCTGTTGGTCATGGCTGCGGTGGGGCTCACCACTGTTTTCTCCTTTTTTTTCTGAGGGTTGGAGCATCTCAGCGTTATTCTGGCTACCTCAACTGGAAAGTACCCGTCCTCCTTGCTCATACCCAGTGGATATGGATGCTTTGTGATTCAAGAGTCATGATTCCCTGACTTTCCACTATTGCTCACAAAATCAATACAATAAAATTGGTTTTTTCTTGGCACTGAGTTTGGGCGGTGCAGGTGGGATCATCAATGATGGGCCTGGTGGTGATGGCTTTGGATAACGGTGCACAACCTGCCGCCAAATTGGTTATGGTGTCATTTTCAGCCCATAACGCATTTTATAATAAAATTTTCATATGTACAACTGAGCCGTATCTCTTCTATTATGACTCAGATATGGACCCCATTTTAGTGTATAAAATCACTCCAGATAACCCACGCTTAACCACAACCATGATTCGCAGAACGCAGGAGGTGGAAAAGGAGTTACTTTTTAAATCAAAAAATGGTTATGCAATTACTGAAGATATGGTGGAATATGTGACCTCAGTAGTAAGAGTGGCCAACTATCCTTCTCCATTCTATGATGCAGAAACGTACCCTGGAGGTATGTTTACGCCTGAAGAAGATTTTATTCGTGAAGTGTTGGCGGTGTCTGCTATAAATAAAGATCATTTGGGATATTTTTTGTTAACTGCTACCCTTTCATTCCCTTCAGGTAAAATTAGCACTACTATTTTGGTGGATACTGGAGCCTCTAAGAATTTTATTGACCAGGACCTAGCCGACCACCTTGATATTAGTTATTTGCCAGGTGGTATGGTTAGGGGAGGGGCTTCTCAAGATATTCCCACCCTGAAGGTACTAGGGTTAGTGGATTATCAAGTGAGCAAGTATCTTTTGACGGACGTTTTCAAGCAATCAAAACCTCTTGTACCTTATTATTTTGGGAATAGAGTAATGGCGAAAGTTTGACGTCAGGACCAACTTGAAAAGCAATACCCTGTCATTAACATTAAAAAATGGTTATATATTATTGTTCAAATGTCTGAGTCTAATTTTTAGGGCGATCTTCTCCACTAACCCAATATCCACACTCTCAGTCTCACTCCATTGTTAAAGCCCTCGCTGAAGGTACCTTTACCTTCTATTTGGAGGGTCTGGAATCTTCATTTGATGCGGCTTCAGCTAATGTATTTCATGGTCATTCAGAGCTTGATTGCAAGTTTAAGCTCACTGTTGATCTGGTGCATATATCTTCCCCAATTTACCCTTTGACCATATGGGAGGAAGCAGCATTAGATATATGGGTTAAAGAACAGATAGCCAAAGGCGCGATTTTTAAGCGTACCTCCCCAGTATGCTCCCTACTTCTCTTTGTGAAAAACTGATGGTACTTTACGCCCATGCATAGATTATGGGAGCCTAAACAATGTCATTGTACCATATTTACATCCCCTCTCTTTGGATCCCAGATTTCACGCTATGTGGGGAAGGCAAAAATCTTCTCCAAACTGG